GACAAATCTAAAAGCCTGAGTTTATCTGATTCAAAAACCCTAAAAGATAGAATGAAGATCGAATGAAGGTGCTCCGTGCTCTCCTCGCTCGGGCGTCGTTTGGTTTTTCGATGAAATAAACTTTCTTTCAGGCGCTCTGTTAATTTTTACTTGTTTCGGGCCAGATTCGGGTTGGGTCGCGCCGTAAACATGCCTCAATTTTATTTTTTAAGTTGTGGGGCCCACTGTCCCAGATGTAATCTTTCCATTGGACGCCGCACGCATAGTTGCTTGCGGTGTCCGCACAGAATAAGAACTCGTCAGAATGTGACCCAACATATCAACCTAAACTTGGCTCATAAAATTCATATTCAGGTTGACCCAAACTTTTTTGTGGTTTGATTCATGTAAGGATTCCTAACTAGTTTAAATTTTTGGATTGTGCTCTGGTTATCCTGTCAATATGCGATTGACACTTAACACAAAATTGAGTTAAAATCGACCCCCCAACCTAAAATTGACCCGAAATTGATCCGAAATCAATAAAAACTTGCCATAATATCTGTTATATTTTATGTTAAATAGACTATGAGGGTCAGGTCTGGTTGGCGGATTGAATGCAGGTTGGGTTTTGGTTTGACTTTTTGGGTGTTTAATATTCAGGTTTTGTTTAAGTCAAGTAGTTTTGGGTTGGGTCAACTTAGATCTAAGGTCAATTTTAGATTTAAGATGAACCTGATCCACATATCCGATTTGACAAGTCTAATTTCAACGCTAATGTGATTTCTTTTATATCCGATCTATTATTATTTTTTCTTCTATCCCCAAGCCCTCAATATAAATTGTTCTCTAACTTGAGTGAAATCTTTTAAAAAGGCAGACTTAGGATGATTGAATGATATACATTTATATAAATCTATGTCGAAACTATTAATGATTAACAAATATTGCTCTGGTGCTGAAAAATTAAAGAACTAACATTGTTTTGAGAATTATTATGCTAATATTAAATTAAAAAAAAAATTAAAAAAAAAACACTATTATGCTAATGCATGTGGTTCCTTGATGTATTTTATGCAAAATAAAAAGACATCGTAGAGGATAGTATTTTGTAATATTAATGCAAAATGACTCGAGCCTTAATTTTTTGTGCTTTTTTTCCTCAGCTTGTGATAGAAATTTTAAAACTTGGATCATATAAAAATCCAACTAAAAATTGAAACAAAGTATGATAAAACAAAAGCAAAATAGAAATGATAATGTCTTCCATACGTTGTGTGTGTGGTTCAAATCAATAAGATGGAAGCAAGTAGCCAAACCAAAGATAACCATCTAATCCTTTCCCTGGAGGTTGCAGGGCCCTCCTGGCTATCGGAAAAGAAGATAAAAGTCAAAAATACATATATGGTTAAAAGTTCTAAATAGAGAAAATATTTACATACATATCATTTTAATTTCTATATATTGACAAATCTAATACCTAAAGTTTTAATTTTTTTTACATATATCATGTTATCTATGCATAAAAAAATAATACATATTTCATCTTTAAAAAGTTAAAACAGTAAATTTTTTATATGATATGAAAATTTTAGAGTATAAAGGTCTTAGATACATAAATACCTAGGATTTGGTGGGCATGTAAGTCTGTATATAAAAAATTGGGTGGCATGGACATAAATGCCCCCAAAATAGAAAAGGTAAAAGTGAAAGTGAATAAAAACTTTAGAGTTAGAGAGCAGCGTGATTAGTTGCTTTTGCTTTTCCCTTAATATGCTCTGTCCTCCCTTCCTTCCCTTTATTTCATTTTCATATTCAAACAATTTCGTTACAAATACAATCCGCTTCCATCCCCCTTCTTCGCCGGCCATATACTCTCTTCACACAAGGAACATCTCTCACTCCTTCCTCCCTTCATCCCCATAAGCCCATAGACGCTCTTATCGTCATTTTTGCATTTATATCAAACCGAAGACAATTTCCCCATTCCGTTCCTATGAAGCAGCAATATTGAAGAACCCCCCAGGGTACTTGTAATACTCCGGACTTCAGTACTGCAGGTAGCAGCCAGGGTTTTAATCGGTCGAAGATCATCGAAATAAATCAGCAGAGCTTTGAGTCAAAATTGTGAATTAAATTTTTCGAGTCGTTTTTGAGCAGAGCTTAACTCAGTTTAAAATCGGATTGACTCTGAGAATTTTACCTGAATATCGTTAAAATTGATTCAAATTTTGCCACGAAGGGAGATTGGAATGAAGCCAAAATTTTGAATGGAGTCGTTTTACTCAGCTTAAAATCGGATTGACTCTGAGAATTTTGCCTGAATATCGTTAAAATTGATTCAAATTTTGCCACGAAGGGAGATTGGAATGAAGCCAAAATTTTGAATGGAAATTTTTTTAGCCGATTTTGGGAAATCAACGTAGCGGCGACCATGAGAAAGGAAATCGGAAGCTGTGCGCAGCCACCTCCGGCAGCCGTACTCCGCTCAAGCCGACCGTCCACCACCTGTGACCGCCATCCCAACGAACCCGTCGTCGGATTCTGCGCCGTTTGTCTTCGGGAACGCCTTGAAGCCGTAGCCAAAGCCGCCGCCGCCGCTGCCCTGCCAGCCGGAGCTCCGCCGCAGCAAGTCCTTTTCTGTCTCTCAGATACCCGGCTTCGCCGCTACGTGCGAGCCCCGACGCAAGTCCTGCGATGTCCGAGCTAGGAGCACGCTGCTGTCCCTCTTCCACCAGGACGACGGGAATCATCCGGCCGTAGAGATCTCCGGCGTAAAGAGGCTAGAGGACAGTGATGAGATTATGTCCGCCGTCGACGAGATGAACGAAGACAGTGAGACTCCGACGGCCGATTTAAAGCCGATAAAGGACCACATTGACATTGGCTCGCGAGCGAAGAAGATTTCCCCAAAAGACGCCAAGGAATTCGCCGGAAGCTTCTGGCTCGCCGCTTCCGTCTTCAGCAAGAAACTTCAAAAATGGAGAAAGCAGAAGGTCGATAAGAAGACACCCTCTGCAATGCCGCCGGAGAAAACCGGAAGCAACTCGCAACGAGATTGCGACACTCAGTCGGAAATCGCTATAGATGCGTTCGGCCGGAGATCCTGCGATATTAACCCTAGATTCTCGCTCGATGGGAGCCGGATTTCATTTGAGGATCCACGGTATTCCTGGGACGAGCCTAGGGCTTCTTGGGATGGTTTTATCATCGGCGGCAGCGGAGGGCGCTCACTTCTCCCTCGCCTCCCCCCAATGCTCGCCGTCGCGGAGGACTCTCCTTCTCCTGCCGTGCAGCGCTTCGACGGTTTAATGCCGGTTGAAGAAGATGCAGTGATTCCTGGCGGATACTCGCAGACAGGGGATTACTATGGGTGCCCTTCTTCCTGCGGGAGGCGGAGCTTAGAACGCTCTACTTGTACCAGAAAGCAGTCCTACGAGTTTAATTTGCAGATCCCGGCAGCCAATGCCAAGGGATCACCCACGGTGAGCGCCGAACTGGTGCAGACCTGCGGCGGCGGAAAGCATGGACGAGATTCTCGAGAGTGGAGCTCGAATTCACTGAGAGATGAATATTCGGAGAACATCGATTTGTCTTTCAGAAATCAATCAAAGGTGCCGCCGGCGAAGAAGTCACGTCGCTGGAGCAAAGGCTGGAGTTTTTGGGGGTTCATTCACCGGCGTGTAGGAAATAGCGGTGCCAGAGATAATGGAGTGGAGAGGTCATTATCGGAGACATGGCCGGAGCTGGGAGCTGATGGGTACAATCGAAGGATTTGCAGAAGTAATAGCAATGTGAGCTCGCGGAGTTCGTTCAACGGAAATGGCGGATTCGGGAGTTGGAGGGAGAATGGATTAGAGAGTAATGGAAACAGGAAGAAAAAGAAGAAAAGGGTGGAAGTTGTGCTGGAAAAGAATCACATTTCGAGGTATCGTCCAAGCCATGTTAATAATGGCTTGCTGAGATTTTACTTGCCGGCCATGAAAGGTAGCAGAAGAAGCAAGTATAGCAGTCGTCATTCCATAACAGGGAGCTTGCTAAGATTGTATTGAAGTTGGAGAGTCATTATCTGCTTCTTCAGATCAATGTTTATGTCCGGATTCTAATGCATATTTCTGTTCTTGTTTATTTTTATTTAAAATTTGCATTTTGGGTATCCAACGGCTTTCTGGTTCTGAACTGTAGTTGTCCTATTTTGCTGTTGTGAATGAAATCTCATGATAGAATAAAAAATATAAAGTATAATTTTACTTTTTATAGTTTGTATAACATAAATTAAATAAAAACAGAATAAGCTAGGAATAAAAAAAAAGAAATTTAAATGTGCATTTCAAACAGCCACTAAGATGATTCATCATTACGTGCAATTAACTCAATATATAATCGTTAAAAAACACAATAATAAAAAATAAACTACGTCATTATCCTGAGCTAATTCTAAACTAATCAAACCTAAGTTTTGATGGCATACAGCTACAACCTATTTAATTGGCTGAAAGTTTTCTAAACAATAACAACTAGAATTTGTTTTAAACTGTATAGTATATTTACTACTATAAAAAGGAGAGATAAATGGGTTACGAGTAGACATTTTATAAAATAACAATATAATAAAGAAATGGAGCAGAACAAGTAATTTTAAGTTCATTTATATATCGTAATTAAATGCATGAATGGAATATCATAAGCTACTCACGTAACTGAGAAACAAGCGCTGAGAAACAAGCGGCAGACTATATATATATATATATATATTCCCAAAGGAATGGTCGTAGGCTATTATACGAGCAATGGTCATCCCTCATGCGTCAAAGAATTCGAGTATTATACCCTACACTCGAAGGGAATCGAACCCCAGATCAGAGGAGACTTACAACTAAGAAGCAGATGTCGAACCAACGGATCTGAGTACGCGAATATATATGTGTGTGTGTGTGTTTTAATTCTCTAACAATCTCAAAAATTAGAAAAGCCGCCATTAATTGTTTAAATTTTAATGAATTATCATAACCGAGTTAAGTGAGATGGATAGTCTGAAATTTAGCACAACAACAACAACATGCCTTTATCCTACTAAGTGTCGTCTGCTACATAAATCCCTTTTCTCCATTGCATCCCATTGAGTATCATATTTTCATTTAATACTAATAAATTAAGATCATGTTTTATACAACATGCCCAAGTCTTTTAGCTCTATCTTTGTCTTTCTTAACATAAGTTTAATCTAAAAAGTCTACTCTCCTAATCGAATCATAAGATGATTAACGTTTAATGTGACCAAAGTTTCTATGGCGGCTCTCTCTAATCTTCTCTGCAATTTGAGCTACACCAACCTTATCACAGATATATTCATTATGTAAATAGAAATAATTCCAAAAAAAAGTAACAATTATAAATCCATTATGCATGTAACAACCAAGTTAATGTATTCCTCTCATGTTTACAATCAATTCCTTAATAACCCTGATTAGCCTTTTGAAGCTTTTTAAATAACACATTCAAAAGTTTAAAATTTTTAAACGTTAGCCTTATCATTCAAATCACCTCATCAGAATTATGTGGTTGGTGAGCAGAGAAAAACATGCATAATCATAAGAGGAAGCTAGAGAGTGAGTGTGAAAGAGAGAGAGAGACAGAGAGAGAGAGAGAGGATTTAATAAAGTAATACGAGATTAATACCGTCGCTTTTGAGCTACAAAAAGAGACGGTTTGGCCCTCATATGACCTCAAGCTCAACCAGTTCTCAACCATTGTACAAAACAATAAGAACAATAATTTTATAATTCAATCATGCTTAGCTTGGGTCACCAATCCCAACTAATGACTCCAATTCCAGCGGATAGTAACAGGGGGCTAATCAGTTTTTAAGCTTTTTAATACGGGCGCAAAATAGCATAAATCGAGACACATGTCCCTAAATTTGTCAGTTTGAGAGCAAAAAATACCCGATAAGAAGATACAATAGAGAATGCGATTGATAAAAGATATACTTTTGTTGCGAGCCGGGCTGTCGAAACAACTAGTTGTTCGCAAACAGCTTGTGTTTAGCTCGTTAAGAACCTTATATTTGATTGGTTCGCTAAGCAAACGAGTTGAATCCGAACAAATTTTTACACTCGATATATACACGAGCCGAACATGAACAAAAATTTGTTTTGACTCGAAATAATTAAATTATATATA